TTGATTGTGCCAAACTATTGAAAAGAATGGGGTGAAGAGAAGGAGGAAGAGATGTAATATTTTTAAAGGAAGACGTGAGACCATTTGTGAGTACTGGGGGACAGTTACAACTAGAGACATTCAATAAGGAGTTTGCTCCCTCTCCTGATTAGCTGTGGAGAGTGGGAACTGTATCTTTTTATTCTACTGCTCCACAATGGGTATTCAATGCCCATTTATTAAGCCAATGATTCTTAGGGTCCACTTGTTTGGTGCCAAATACAAACTTTATGGAATAATTTTTTTGAAAAAAAACCAAAAACCCTAATCTGAATTGGATTTTATGGAATGTAATGCACTAACATATTTCAAAGAATGATAATTATCCTAAAAAGCAAATAAGCAATCTCTTTAACTGCAACCAAAGAGCACTTCTGCTGATTCTAAGTTCCAGATAATTACTCAGGGTCACAGGACAGTTGGTCAGGAGACACATGACCAAGACTGGAAATGCTCATTTTCTTAACTGTCAAAGACAAATTAAGAAATCTATGTCCAATACATACTATGACTGGCTCTTGACAAAGTCAGCTTTTCTCCTAGAACATGCAAAAACAACTACAGAAAAAAATGAGTCAGCTTAGGTGTTTTCCAATGATATAACTTGTCACAACACATACAAAACAGGAGAAATTACGTAGAAAAGCAACTTCCATAGTTGGGCAAGGTGGCACATGCCTGAGATTCCAGCACGCTGGAAGGCTGAGGCAAAAGAATGTCAAGTTCCAGGCCTGCCTGGGCAACTTAGAGAGACCATGTTTCAGAAACAAGTCCCCTCCCCAAAAAACCAACTTCCAGGATGTAAAACTACTGTATTACCAACTCAAATGTGTAAGATGTGCTAGAAAATACAATTTATAGACAAGATTTGTGAAAAGACTGGAAAACATTTGAAATATTTCATTATAATTCTATTTCCTAAACAAAAGCATGAAAATATAGGCCTTCTCTTGGTAAGCTGAACATGCCAAGTGTATCCTGGCTTCAGGGCCCACAGGCTGCCCTTTCAGTCTTGAATCCCCACCTCTTCCAATTCCCCCCACACTGGCCCCTTCTTCTGTACCAGATTAAATGTCATCTCCCTGGAGAAGCCTTCCCTGCCAACCTAAAGAAGCCAATCTCTGTCACATCACCCTGCTTTAGTTCTCTGCACAACCCACTGAATTGTCTGTCTTGCTCTGCTTCAAAGTTTAGCAAGAACAGGGATTTTCCTTGTCTTTCACCATTTTATATACAACACAATCACAACTACTATAGGTGCTCAAATACACTACACCTCTCAGAACAGATGAAACACAACAGCCTAAACAAACATGACAAACACAGACAAAGCTTTCTTATAGCCCTTGTAATGCCTAGGATAAACGTGCAAAATACTAGGCAACTGGTTTTTCTAACAGGGTAGAAAAAGTAAAGGTAACCTGAATAACAGAGGTCTTCACTACTGAATTAACTTGCTGGAATAAAATGTGGTGTTACAAAATACCGATGTATACTTATTTTAGATGAAGCCTTCTGGGTCAGATCAAATGAACTACCAAATTAAGAATCCTGCCTTACCAAGAGAGATTACGTAAAGGTGCAAATTTCCAGTGATGAATGTCATTATACTGTATACCTAAAATGTACCAATAAAGTTAAATTAAAAAAAAAAATCCTGCCTGACCTTGGTACAGAAGCACAGATTACAGAACAGGCTAATGACTATTTATTACAGTACTTTCAAAATTTACCCAGTTACCTCCAAACACTACTAACCTTCTTTAGTAAGTGATCATGCGTTTAGCACAAATACACTTAAAGTTACACTACTGCGATGCTGGGTGTGGTGGCGCACACCTGTGATCCTGTGATCTCAACACTCAGGAGGCCAAGGCAGGAGGATCGTCATGAGCTGAAGGCCAGCCTGAACTACACAGGGAGACTGTCCCAAAACAAAAACAAAGTCACACCACTCCATAAAAAAAGGGATCCAAGCTGTACATCCTTTTACTTGTCTAAAATTTTCTTTCAAGCTACCAGCCCTAACAGTCTGGAATTTGGTGAAGAATCCTTTACACCTATTAAGACAATTTTCAAATTTTTAAAAATGATGTTTCCTGTTCTAATTACTGCCTTTGCACAGTACCATTCTTTAACACTCCACTGTTCAAAACTATACCAAATAAACATTAACAATGTTGGCTATCAGATTTAGAGTATTTCTGGTACACTGCCAACGGAACCAGCTTATCAAGATGTAAGGTGTGAGCAAAGATCTTCCCAAAGCAATTACATTTAACACCTGTAAACAATCAGCCACTACCACTGGTAGTGAAAAATCAGTGTAACAAAGTCTTTTTTAAAGCTGTACAAGGAAACCTAAATGTCTGAAATGCTCTATGTAGGGAACACGTATTCTTCCACTTACTACATTCAAGGCATCAAAAGGAAGGTCGGGCCATTATATAAGAATTCATCAGGCTGGGGATTTAGCTCAGTGGTTCCGCCGCCTGCCTCGCAAGTGCAAGGTCCAGAGTTCGATCCCCAGTACCAAAAAAAAAAAAAATTCTCATCGTGTGTTTTGGGCTGGGGATTTAGCTCAGTGGTTTCACCACCTGCTGCGCAAGCGCAAGGACCTGAGTTCGATCCCCGGTACAAAAAAAAAAAAAAAAGAATTCATCAGAACTGAATGTATCACAACTTCCCAGAAAGAACTGGTCAACTTTTTTAAAAAAATGTACTTCCTTGTTGATGACTTAATTTTTTACACAAATTATATAGTGTAATTTAAATGCTTGTACAATTGGTTCTAACACCATGGGCTCTAGACAATGGGACAACTTGGGTTCAAACACAAGCTCTGCCACACCTTGGGTGTGCTACAGTTAACTTAGTAAACTTTAATGTCCTCATCTGTAAAATAAGCATGATGATATTCCCTGACTGGCACGCAACACTCAAATGTTAGTTATTGGGCCAGGAAATTAGCTCAGTGGTTCCAGCGCCTGCCTCACTAGCACAAGGTCCCATTTGAGTCCTCATACCAAAAAAAAAGTTAGTTACTACCATCATCAGATTCCAAGTTGTCCATAACACTAATAACATATTAGGTGACACACCTAATATGGTTTCCTCATTGATTATGTTGCACTATGCCACAGTTTTTCTCCCTTCATGTCTGTCTAACTTCCTCACCACAGAACACAAATTTTACATTTCTAATGAAGGATATATTTTATTAAAACCTATGACTTTAGATCCCCAGTACCAGAAAATAATAAAATAAAATAAAACCTATGACTTTAGTTTTAGCAATACCCACTATTGGCCCACGGATTTAGCTCAGTGGTTCTGCCACCTGCCTTGCAAGAGCAAGGTCTTGAGTTTGATCCCTGGTACCAAAAAAAAAAAAAAAAAAAAGCAATAACCCCCTATGAGGTCCAACAACACAACTGACTTAATTGCAGTAAATGATAACAGTACATATAAATACAATTCAGAAGATTCCTAAGGAATCCTTTAGAATAAAGTAATCCTGTAGAATAAAAATTTGATGATTTAAAGTAAAACATTCCTGTATTTCCAATATTTTCTCATATTAACACCTCCAGTTCAGAGCTTGAATAGCCTAGAATTCACCTAATACATGTTCTTCAAAACCAAAATATACACCCATAAAATCAAGTTATGCCCACAAATCCAAGTTTCTGCCTCTTAATCACTCAACAGAGTGTTTCTCATTTGGAGATCCTTGAAAATTACTTTTTCTGTTAAAAGGGCCTGAAACTCAGTTATGAGAAATATTGCTCTACTTGGAAAAGAAGAAACCATGGAACTCCCTACCAAGGCCATGCAGTAATTCTGAACAGGGACTTTTTAAAGCAGGACTTTTCCCTTCGCACCATAAATTCCCCCTAAGTAAGTGCCTTATGTATTAACTATCCTTTTCTGCTACAGCAGTCAGGAAATAGAAGGCTTCATTCTTTGTTAGGGAGTAGGAGGAATGAACTACATTTGTGGGACTGAGGACCTGAATGCAAGCCCGACACAAAAGTTCGGTTAGTGGGAATGTTTAAGCAATGTTCTGGGGTCTGTGGATAGAGACTGTGTAGGGCAAGCAAGTATTTATGACAAAGCTCATGACGGTCGGGCCCCAAACTTCAGCTGCAATACAGGTGAAGTAGTTGAACTTTATTCTTTTGCTAAATCTGTTTTATTTTTCAGTAAAAGAAATCAATGTGATAGAGGGCGTGTTTAAAGAGTCATCCGGGTGCAAGGTCCAGATGGCCTGGAGGGTGGAGATGCTGACAAGAACACAAGGTTATCACAAAAGCGGCCGGCGAGGCAAAGACCTGGACTAAGATGGGATAGTTACAAACGCTTTCTCTAAGAGCAGTTCCAAATAAAATTCACAAGCCACCTTTTATGAAAACGAACTCGTCGTCTTCAAATTCTTGACATCTGAATTATACTCAACCAGTTTGATAACCTCAGGTTATACACCCCTCAGGACCAAAGCAAAGACGATTTTCCTGGCCCTGCTCTTTGGCTTCTCAAGTTGACCCAATCTGTTTCTGGGCTGGTGAGATGCCAACGAACCAGGTCTCGGTGGACAAAGAAGTCTGAGCCCTGGCCAGGCTCGACAGCGTCCTGCTGATCTGCATGGATGGCCCGCCCAGGCTCGGCAGGGCTCACGGAGAGCGGAACTAGGCCTGTAGAGGATCCGGGTCGAGCCTGGTGCCCCCACTGTCTGCGGAAACAGCCCGGTCCAGCGGGTGGCTGGGACTGGAGCACCGCACTGAGCCAGTAGGCCCCAAAGTGGGACGCGGGAGGCCCCGCTGCCTACTCCGTCTCGGCCTCCGACTGGACCTCCGTCCGGCGGGAGCGACCCCGCGACGCAGCCCCAGGCTGAGTCCTCCCGCTTCCGGCCGCAGGCCCCACCGAAGCCTCCCGGCCCGCCCGGCCACGGCCCCGCTCACCCAGAAGATGAGGTTCAGGAAGACCAGCACGGTCTTCGAGGAGGTGATGCCGCACTGGCCCATGGCGCTAACGGCCGCCGACCCCCACCGGCCAGCGGGGCGGCGCTCCCCGAGCGCGGCGGCAATGGCGACGGCGCCTCCCCGCCGGAAGCTGCTAGGCGTGCGCCGCACCCCCAATAGACCCCGGCTCAGCCCGGCCTAGCAAGCGCCTCTCGCCTCAGCGCAGCCTCCACAGCAAACCCCTCTCTCTGCCGTTCCCTGGCAACCGGGAGCCGCCCCCGCGGCCGCGACAGCCGCTTCAGCCAATCACTCTCGCGGAGCTGAGGCTAGGCCTTGCCTCTTAAAGGATCCGAAGCCTCTGCACCTTTGCTTGGCCTCTGGCCGCCCTTGGGTACTGATAGCCTTTTCGGGGCGTTCTAGACCAGCCTTGTAGACAATTGAGACCCCACAGTGCGCTGTCTTTCTAGCCCATTCTCCCTTCGGAAGGCCAGAGACTACTAGCACCTTGGGAGAAAGGCAGTGAACATCGTGTTAATGAAGAATTTACTGCGCCAGGCACTCGGCCAGCTCTCAGAAGAGCTACTAGAAAGGAGAAAAGGCTGGTGACGGGGTTGGCAAGGCAGAGACGGGCAAGGTAACTATCTAGGCTGTTCCTGGGCAGTACACTTGCGACCAAGATTTTCATCATTAATAAAGCATCTTTTTACACTGCAACATTTCACATTTGTCCCCAGTCTGGGGCGGATCATAGTCAACACTGTGTACTGTACCTACTACCTCATGCCATGCTCGGTAGCTCTACCTAGCCTTACGCGGAAGGTGCCATGTAAGCCTCATTTTGCTGGTGGGGTAACTGAGGCTCAGAAAGATTAAACTTAACAGAGCCACAGAGAAGAGTACAGAAACTGCATTCTCAGCCACACACTAAACTGCCCCTGTACCCTTTCCTGCCATTCCAGTCCTGTACTCCATTCTCAATAGGCTCTTAACCATACTCATTGCTTGTCCTTAATTAACTCCCTGTCCCACAATTCCCTGGCTTGTCACCTTTTCCAGGGACTACCTGTGCCCGCCCAGCATCCTATACTTTTGCACCAAGCAGCAAGATCGCCATTTATCCACTTATCAAACTTTCTGCAGGTACCACCCCTATACCTTGCTGTTCTCAGTGGTGGGTATTCCCCAGTCGGGGAGACAGCCTTGCTCCTGTGCAGCCTACATCCTGGTAGAGGAAGCAGTGTAAATAGCAGGTAGGCGTAGGCCATGATGTTGGGCAGTGACAGAAAACAAACCAGAGGAGAGGAGTAGAGTGGTGAGGAAGTCCTTCCTGAGGGGAGGAGGGAGGAATGAATGACTTTAGGAGAAAGGCACAGGGAGGAAGAACAGCCCAGAAATGGAAACGAACCAGGCCCTAAGGCAGGAACAGCACTACTGTGCTGGAGGAAAAGGGCACCAGAGAGCATTGGTGTGCTGGGGTTGTGGGGAGCAGAAAGAGAACTTATCAAGGCCAAGATTACCATGGCCTGGTGAGCTGTGCAGTGAAAAGATACTCCCAGCTTTGTGCAGGCCACAACAGCATCTAAGTTTTTGAAGTACGATTTTTTTGCCACACCATGCATGTCCTAGTTAATTTTTTTTTTTTTTTGGTACCGGGGATCAAACTCAGGACCTTGCATTTGCAGGACAGGCACTGGAACCACTGAGGTAAATCCTGGCCCCTGTTTTTTGTTTTTTGAGACAGGGGCTCCCTATGTAATTCAGGCTGGCCTTGAACTCACTAGGCAGCCCAGGCTGGCCTCGAACTCTCAGTAATCCTCCTGCCTCACCCTACCTAGTTCTGGGGTTACAGGAGTTCACCACCACACCCAGCTAGTTAAAACTTTTTTTAAAACAAAGAAAATTCCTGGCTCTCAAATATGATTCCCTTTGAGTCTATCTTCTCACTGCCCCTACTCTCTGTAAATTAAGATCTCTCTGTTTTATTTTTACTGCCCCTAACATCTGTGCATTTCTTTATCTGTGTCCCATCCCTTCCCATTTCCCCGAGGAGGCCCCTCTCCATGCATCATTCCTATACTCACTCCTCCATCCTGCCCTGTGCTTCTTCCTGGGTGATCTCAGACCCCACACCCATAAGAGTCACCTAGCCCCACAAGCAAACTCCATCAGACTCTGTACTGAGCCACAAGAATCATGCAATTCTCAGAAGCCCCACTGGTGGCAAACCTATGGCACGTGTGTCTCAGGGGGCTGTTTGTTATCATTGAAAGCTCTGAAAGGTTCCCCATTACTGTCCCAGGTGATTCTACTGTGCTGTAAGGGTTGCAAAAAAAGCTGTCCTGGGTTTATAAAATTTGTCATTTCTCTCCCACCCTAAAAACAAAAGGCTCTCACTTGACATTTTGTTTTGCTTTCTCTCTTTTCTCTCAACCAAAGTTCCTAAATCATTTGGTTCAGAATTTCTCAGGAAACTTTAGTATGCACACAAATCACCCAAGGATGGAGCTTGTTAAAATGGAGACTCTGATTCAGGCTCTGCCTAACCACTGCCAGGTGATATCCATGCAGCTGGACCACTCTGTGCAGCAGGGCTGGACTTCTGGCCTTGTTCCCCCATGCTGCCAGCTCACGTTTTTGCTCACTGTCATGTGGCATCACCCCACAGTGCCAATGAAACTACTCTCGTCCATTTTACCAGTGATCCACCTTTATCCCCCTCGGAAGGAGCAGAGTTGCCTAGTTTGTCCCCTCCAGAGCTCATCTTGGAATTAGATTGCTCTGTGAAGGTGTTGTGTGGGAGGCGGGACCTTTAAGAGGTGATTGGTCTTTACTAGGGGGGGGAGGGAATTGAGTTCTCACACTGGAGGGAGCAGCTTGTTCTGCATGTTTGCCGTCTAAAGCACTTGCCTTCTTGCTCTCTGCCACAGTGGACCTTGGACTTCCAGTTTCGAGAGCAGTGAGTCAAAATGATCCTCTTCCTTTATAAATTACAAATGGTAATTATGTAGGTATCATGTATTATGTAAGAAAAAAAAGCACCAGGTTAAACGTCCATGTTGGTTGGAGGTCAGACTCATGGCCAGAGAGCCCTGCTTCCAAATGCAGCCCTGCCGCATGCTCACTGAATGCCCTCTCTGTGCCTTGGGATCCTCAGGATGACAGGGGTATGTATCTACAGGACACGGTTGGAAGAATTAAACCAGTGCACTCTTTCTAAATTCAGTAGCAATTTTATCAGTAGTGCCATTGAACTCTGGGTATATTTAGGGTTTTTACCATCACTGAAAACATTTATTTTTGCCCTATTTTTTAAGTATCTGTAAAATTATAGAATATTAACTAAAAATGAATACATCATCACAGTAGAACTTATTGTAAGGTGAGCTCATGCAGTGTTTATTAATAGCCCTGACATGTGGACCAGATGTTTGTTCTCTACCCAGATTTTTGTTGAATGAAACAGATTGATTGAAAAGGCAATTAGCAATGAACAGTTGAAATTCTGAGATTAATGTTTAAAAAGCTTTACACTTGTTTACAGTTTGGGGCTGAAAAGGCAGGCTTCTTTTTGCTTTTGTTTGATGAAAACTGGCTTAAGATATTCATGTGTAAAACCAAGAGCAAAAGCACACTGCCTTGCGGGTGACAACTGCAGCATGTCTCCTTATGGAGCACAAACATTTACTTCTAAAGGAAGATTGAAGACTCAGCCAGCGAGGTGAATTTCTAAATGAACCAGTTGTTGAAATTATTGGAATTAACTAAGCCAAAGTGATTGTGCATTCTTCATCTATGTAGTTAGCATTTCGTATCATATACAGTTTACAATACATGTATAACTTGTAGCTATAAACATTTTGTGCCATTAAAGCTCTCACCAAAAAAAAAAAAAAAAGAATTAAACCTGTGCATGCACTCAGAGCTGTCAGAACAGAAGGGTGCCTGGAACACCGGTGCTTCATGATCATCAGTGTTGATCATCCTGCAAGACAGCCAGTGTTTGACTTTGTTAGCCTCTCACATTTTAAAACTCTCCTCTATCTTGGCTTCTAGAACTCCATCCTCTCTTCACCTTCTGCCTGCCTCTCTAGCTGCCCTCTTTCTTGCCCATTGCATATTGGAGTTTCATAGGGCCCAAGCTTAGGCCTCTTGGCATTCCCATCCCAGGGCTATCTCCCCAGTGCCCTGGATCAGCTACTGCATGCAGAACTCTGTGGAACCTGGGCCGCCACACAGGTCTTCCTTATCCCCATAGTCAAGTCCTGCTGCGTCCCTCTAGGTGGATTCGTTTCCTCAGTCAACACCTTTCTGAGCAGCCCACTCCACCTAGCTGATGCCAGGTGCTGGGAGCCTGATTCCTGGCCCCAAGGACTCTCAGCCCAGTGCAGAGATTCACACTAATTATGCAATTATTGATTTAATTGCAATTTGGATAAGCACAAATGACAGGTGCATGCTGCTTTAAAAGAATACAACAGGGACTGTGACCTCATGTGGTAACTCAGGGCTCTGGACTCAGTATGTTCCAAACTGAAGTCATTCTCCTCAGCCTGTTCCTTAGAAATGCAGACCCACTATGTGTCCTGCTATGGCTGACCATGGCCATCTGTGTGGGGTACAATGGGAGGGTAGGGCGCTGCTACCTGCTTGGACTGACCTTTGGCTTGTAGCTTGTCCCAGTGATCTCTGTTTATTCTGACCCATGCATGCGTGTGGCATAGTGTCTAGTACCAAAAAAAGTTAATTTTTTCCCATTGTAAAAGCAATGCCTATTTGTGGTGATTGTATCTTTATTAGAGCAGCTCTGGGGCCTGATAGGGGCCATTGCAAATATATATATATATATATATATATATGAAATAACTACTAGTAGTGGACATTTCCTTTTTTGAAGTGTCCCTTTTTGAACACACTGTTTGGGAGGATTCCCCTGTACAAATTTGGGGGAAGCCCAGGTCACAGCTCCCAGCACACAAGCCACCAGATGTGACAGGTGTTGTACTGGTGACCCTGTCCCAGATGGACCTTGAAAGAGTGATACAAAGACCAGGGGCCACAAAGAGAATGTCCCAAGGGCAGTGTGGGTTCCAGAGTCCCATAGCAGTGCCAGCAACAGTCTCTTGACTGGGCTTTTCTGACAAACCTTGCACGGTTTCCAACACTGTGAAAGATGCTGGGGCATACTAGTGCTCCTACAATAAATCCTCTGTGCTCCAGGCAGCTGCAGTCTGTT